TCCAAAAGTAAAGAAATTGCTTTCTGATTTGTGCCGGCAATTCTACCCAAACACAATTAGCTGTGGTTTGGGTTGTGAGGAGGACTGTCCCCGTTTGGTTAGAGCGGATTTAGGAGGTCTCAGTCGACAAGCTGTCAATCAAAGACCTCTGGATGGGCTTTGCAGGCACATATTGTCTCACTATCATAACAAAATACCAATATGTGTACACACCGGAACAGAAACAGAAGCCTCAGCACATCACGATATTTGAAAATCCCCGTTTACTTCTGTGTATCATTCTCCAGTGGTACGAATCACTGTTATTGATCTTTTACGCTCTGTCCTGTTTAATTCAATCTTCTAGGTCTTTCTTAACGGAGGCTGGGAACTACGGTGGCTGAGAAGTGCAAAACACATTTACAATTTAAAAAACACCTTATGATTTGAAAAAGCTGAATAAAATTTTAGGATACACATTTAAAGTAAACAGAAAACACATTTAGGAATTAAAAAAACATAACATTTTAAGAAACGATTTTTTTCAAAAATGTTTGTTTCCTAAAAAATGAATTTGTTTCTTGAAATGCTATATTGTTTTTTCATTTGTTCATGTCAACGATTTGGGAATAAGCAGTTCACAAAATGGATGGATGTGTTTCTTTAATTGTGAATGTGTATCTTACAATGTTATTTTGTTTTTTAACTTTTCAACGTTTTTTTTTTATTGTAAATGTGTTTTGCAACAGCAGGGGCTAAATCAGAAAAAAATAATGTCTCTTTTGCTTCAGCTTCTTTTTCAGGAGGCTAATCCTGGAGTGAGATACGAGTACACCATCAGCAGAGACGTGTCCGGGGACAGCAGCGTCCCGGCCGCTCGCCATTTTTGGAAATTCGGCTCGTGGACAGAGTGCAGCGTCACCTGTGGAGCAGGTGAGAGGGTCAGATCCTCCATATTTAAGCTGGAATAAAGAGAAAGGTTAGGTGTCTCAGGCTGGGATGCCTCTCGCTCCTTTTTTTGCCCGGCTGTGACATATTCCCTAAGTCCTCAGCTTAACTGGACGCTGTGTGGGATTAACTTTAACTTTTCATTGGTCAGTCTGTGGCAATGAAAACCGTCACATGGTACAGTGGAAACTTCTTGAGGGTTTTAGATAGGCATCAAAATGATTTTGTTCTTTTTGTATAAACTATAAACAATTCAACTATAAACTATTAAAACAATTGATCCAGACTAGCTTTGTGACAGAAATTAACTTGAATTATATCCGAAATATGGTTTCACAAAAGAGTCAAATTAGCATAATACAGTGGGGGAAATAAGTATTTGACCCCTTGCTGATTTTGCAGGTTTGCCCACTTAACATGAATGCCTATTTTTCCTCATCAGATGGTTATCAATTTTTATAAATTCATATGATGTGATTTTCTGGAATTTTCTTTGGGATTCTGTCTTTCACTGTTAGAATGTACATATGATTAAAGTTATAGATCGTTGCATTTTTTGTAAGTGGGCAAACCTACAAAATCAGCAAGGGGTCAAATACTTATTTCCCCCACTGTATGTATTATTTAGATGTTTAGCCACCAATAACTTATTAACTTATTAAATATTTGTAATTCCATGTAAATGGAATTCGTGTGTGGAGATATTCTTCTGTCTGTGTACACCACACGTGGACTTGTTGGTATTATTATGGATGAATCATCTGACTGTATTATTTTGAACATTGGGAGCCACTGATAACTGAAAAGTACATTTAATAAGTGAACACACAGCCGCCCCACTACATTGTAATGCTTTTCAGTATCTCATTTAATTAGTGTCAGTTTGACTAATGTTCCTTTTTCACAGAGGTTTTCCACAATTGGTCGAAATGGAGATGTTGCTATTTGAGTTGAACAGTTTTTGTGACCAAAACTTTATCTCTTTCATTAAAACCGCAGAGTAA